GCTAGTATACATAGAACCCTAATTCATTCAATATTAACTCTCTTTCCTGGAGTGTTTCCATTTTGGGCCATTACTGCGAAATCAATCCCGGACCAGAGAGACGAGAAGGGGAATTGCCGGGCCTGATATGGCCTGAATATTTTTTTTGACAACGATATGGCCTGAATATGATCACATTGGACTCTTCTTTTATTGGGCCCAATTATTAGAGCTACCACTCAAATTGAAGTTGAGCAACGAGCAGGAATGACAACGGTGGACAACCCACTCGCAACAAAAATTCAGTAAATACTTTTTGAATTTTACAGGTGAATATCCCATCCAATCGGTATGTATGGTTACCCATATGTTCGTAAACATAACCACAAATAATTTTTTTTCTGGTTATTGACATTCTTATATTATCGAAACTTTCCTATAACCATATATGATATATCAGTGATTGTTTTACTTTATGAGTGCATAGAAGATGGAAAACGGTTGTTGGATTTTAACAAAACCTACACCATTCCAATTCATTGATTCTCCAAATCGAGTAAAATTTGCACTTGGCTCAAAATACTACAACACTGAATTATACACAAACCATTTTTTTAAGCAAAAGAATTGTACTCGAAGTGAGTACTACTCGTCTACTCCCCAATTTTCTCCGTCTTTCTCGTTGGAAATATTTGGTAACAATTTTGCTAGGGTTTGGTAGCCAAGTCCAAACAAAAGGACACGCAATAATGGCCATGGCCTGGGCTGGGCGCCATTGCTGGAATCGACTTGTCCACCGTACTATATGCATATGCAGTTATGCTCACAGTACTAGATGCTGTAATGAGCACCACCATGGCTCCTTAATTTCTGCCCTTCGACTAGTCACAAAACCCACCACTACATCATTGCATGATGAGCAAACCCTACATGTCGGTACTATTACGATCGCCAAGCAAGCTTACTCTTTGTACCTATCAATGGCGCCATTCATTCATTCATTCTGCCAAGCCATGTTCTTCAAACTTTGCCCCTTACTGCTTCCCTGCTAAATGAAACCTCTGCATACTCACTCATTACTACTCTCTTTCTTTTGCTGTCGAAACAGTAGGCGAATTTCATTCGCGCTGAAAAAAGTTCATGATCAGTACCGTACGATTGGATCTGTGCAAACTTTAAGTTTACATGTACTTTGATTATGTAATTTTAACTTTATCATCGTTGTGCATTATAAAAAAAAAAAAAAACTTTAGCATCGTTGTGAAGAAAAAGAATTACATGTACTCTAACCTCTACACATAACCTCGTAACTCAAGTTATATGGTCTCGCGATCTCGGGCAGCGATCGATATACATGCATGTAATGAGATATGTTCATTGCAAGTAGACACCCTATTAAGAATGGTAAGATCAAAATGGCTAGCCAGTAAGATCAAAAAGAATTCCGATATGCTATTGAAACCTATCTTGATATGATGTATGTTGAGTGGAGAGTGGAGACCATAGTACTTAGGGCCTAGCACTACAACAAAAATTAGTTTTTGCAACCAAAAAGTTTACAACCAAATTAAAATTGGTTGTGAAAAGGCTACTATACACTACCAATTATATTTTGGTAGTTAAAATTTTAACAAATTGGTTGTCTATTAAGATCAACATATTGATAACCAAATAAAACATGAGGAGACCAAATAATTTGGTAGCAAAATGAATTTTACTATTTCCAACCAAATAATTTTGGTAGCAAAATCATCTTTAGTTTTCCCAACTAATTAATTTGGTTGCAAATGCAATAAAAAGTTTCCAGCAACTAATTTATTTGGTTGTGATTGCATTGATGTTAAAAACTAATCAGGTACTATACTTTACTACCATTACAATTTGGAACCTGTAATATTTAATTGCTGAAATGACTCTGGCGTTCTCCCACTGTACTCCGGCTCTCTCTCTCCAGCTCTCCCCTTCCTACCTTCTCCCTCCTAAGTCCTACTGAATTCTGCCAACCGAGAACCCAACTTCTCCTCCTCCTTTTCTTCTTCTCCTTAATTCCCCAGATTCCCTCTTTGCTACTCTGAATTAGTCGATATTAAGTAAAATCGATTCCCCAAATAAATTTCAGGTCCTCAGTTTCCATCGAATTCCATTTTCCAAACACTCCGTCGACGACTTGAGTCCTTCGAACAAATCATCGATGGAAGAAATAGAGATCTCTCATCCGTTGTCGATCTCGAAGCGATCAGATTCACTCGCTTTGATTTGCTGAAGCTCTTCCTGACTAGGTACTTGCACCTCAGCTTCAATCCCTAGCCATGGAGGCAATCCCTCTTCAGCAGCGCGTAGATTTCGATCTCTAATTCTATCGCCGCAATAGGCCAAATTTCATCTTCTCCTCTATGTTCTACTCTTGGTTCGACAAGTAATCCCAGCTCTATGTAAGATTCTGACTCCTTTCAGATTTCGATTCATCCGAGCGACATCTCTCTATTTCTCTCTTCACTGCGCTAGGTTTTTGGAAATTTTAGTCAATTTTGCCGGCTGTAGGTAAATATCCTCTACGCGGTGGCCGAGCGCTTGAACGAGAGTCCATGGAGGTGAAGATCTGTAGATCACGATGGTGCCGGACGATAACATAGGGGAAGTGAAGAGCTTCTCGGGCTGCATGTCAGTGTCGCGACAACATGCTTCAAACTCGGCGACTAAGCCGGGAGTCGCTAGGTTGCAAGCCAGAAGAGGCGCTGGCAGTGAGTTTTACCAAACTGAGGTAATACCCTAGCCTCTATTATCGATTTCTTGAAGAATCTAAAAGTTCTACTAGTTGATAAGGTTACATTACCCCTAGATGTCCTCTTTCACCTCGTATAATTGATTGTTATTTGGTTTACTTAGTACTTATGTTGTCTCTGTGCATGATCTTAGAAGAGAATGATTCTAATTTAGAACCATGATAACAGTTACTACAAGCTCTGATGCCCTGTTGTGGAAACAAGGAGGTTTAGTTCGGTTTATGTGGATACTGGATGCGAAAAGCAGGAAGCCTAGAGGAGTTGTTTGCTAGATGAATGACATCTGAACTAATGGAAGGAGCGAAGAGGTTGTGATATGATTTGGTTAGATGCTGGCTTCGAAAAGCAAGGGGGTTGAGGTTTTTGCTTGCTACACCAGCTTTGATATATTTGAACTCCCAGGGGAAGTTGACAGGACCTTGGCTCCCCTAGTTATTTTCATTTTACAGTTTGTAAGTTGCAATTGTGGTCTAATTTACATTCATTTGGAATTAAAGAAGAGATGTGGCCCTGGAATCTTGTTGTATATATTTTGGAGTGCATTACTGGTTTGGTCTCATTGGGTTCCCTTGTCTTTTCTTCAGGTATTTGGGGAATTACATCAGATATGCTATATATTGTAGCTACTGTGCCTTTAGATGCTGCTGTTTCTAGCGTTCACAAACCCTTCAGAACCTAGAAGAGATGCTAGACACCAGCAAGTGATCATAATTTAGGTGCTTTTTTATGATGGACCCCCCTCCCAATAATTTTAGGTACCTTTTACACTTGCCATTATAGTGGTGTGATGCTTTTGCTTTCTGTTTTCTGAAATTTGGGAACAGTCTTGTTGTGTTGTGGTTGATTTACTTATTTGTTCAATTTTATAATATGAATTTGTTGGATTGAATGAATTATTTATTCATACTCTGCCTTCTTTACAGTATGGTTGTATAACATGGTTGCCCAATACTGGTGTTGGATTATAGTTATCATACGTGAGGTATGGCTTCTTTCTGTTAGTTAATTATATACTAAGCATATATATCACCTTCTATTTCCTGAGTAATTTATATATCCATATGTTCCCTAACCTCTCTAGTAGTTCTAGTTCACTACATGGCGGTAATGATTGATATGTTCTATTCTACATCAAATCATCAGTACTCTCTTGGCAGGAATCCCTAATTGATGTAATATGTCTAACTGACCGTGGCATGTTCTTATGAATTATGATGTGTAAAATGTCTACGTTTCCAGAATTTCTATTTCCCAGCTGGATCTTTTGGTAAACTTGTTAGCCTCGTAGAAAAAGTGGCTTAAATCTACTGAGTTATGCTGCATTAATAGTGGCCTCTACCTGTTTATATATGTTGATGGGGAAGACCAGAATGGACATTATCCAGTATGATACTTGAATTGAGCAACCTTTCATAACATTGTTTCTTATTTCTATTCAGATTTCCAGCCTCAAATGTAAAGAGTTTTATGCATTGGGAGGTAGCATCCAAAACAGAAAAATCTGAACAATTAGCTGGATGGAAGAGAAGATAAAGCACTTTTCTGTGGTTGATTCAAGCTGAGGTTGACAAATTACTGTGCGAGATCTGTGGTAGATTCTACAACCCTCCATTATCTTTAGCTTCATTAAAGAAAAATTTCTTGTGCTTAATTGTTTAGCTGATTGCAGAGATGACACAGTCTCATCTAACGGAGAAGCAGCACCTGGGCTATGGCTTAGTTAGTGATTTCATCAGTGAGTACAAGGTAAAGTGAAAACTTTTTCCAACAACATCATCATAATCATCTTGTTTCTTCTAGTTATAATTTGGTAATCTAGAACTTTGGAATACACACTCTCCAGGAAGCTAGGGAAAAGGAAACTGGAAAAGGCAAATGTGACTTTGTCTCCAGAGAATCCGTTTGGGTTCGAGATGAGAGCTTCACGTTAGATATGGAGGGAATATTGCCTGTTTCTTACTCCAATTTTCAGTAAAAATCAATCAATTCAATCACTAACGTTGCTCTTAACTGTCCATATAATATAGAAAAGTTGAATCTTTTCCTGTGTTTGAATGTGGTCAACTAGTGAAAAATTCTGAACCAATATTAAGGCCTGGGATTATCAGGCCTGGGATTACCATTGGTTTTCACTTGTACAGTTGGAGCTATGGAGTTATTGTGGTTTTGAGTGCTTCTTTTGGTTTACCCCATTTTTACTGTTTTGCCAATTGTATACTTCTTTCAGGATAACTAAAGGAATCAGATTGGTGCATTACTGAACCAAATGGAGCAGCAGCCATTTTTAGATCGAATGCTCGGTCAGCTACGATGTACAAGTAAGCTAGGAGACTTTGTGTGGGAAACATTACTTGGAACACATTTGCAAATATATATTTGGTCGTTCTAGCATATTCTTACATAATATATCTGCATGTGAAATTAGGTATTACACTGGATATCCAAAAGATCTTGGCCCCTCACGCATCATTCATTTCACATCAGAATGTGAATTCGTCAAGCTTCTCCATGAAGGTAACCCAATGGTAGTTGCTTTTAGTATCAGGTGAGCCTTGGGGAGTAACGAGTTGAAACCTTCATGTGTTTCATTGTTTCAGCAATCTTCATATGACATTTAACTTCCCATGTCGTAGAGGTAATTACACAAGACATCTTGACAAAGTACTTGAGGAAGCTGCTGCTGAGTTTTATCCTGGTGTTAAATTCATGCGTGTAAGTGGTTTCTGCTCTGTATATAACATGTACTAGCCCTTCAGTCAACTGAGTGCAAAAACGTCCACCATTACCCTTGAATAAGGAATTTAGGTTGGTATGGTTATGGATCCTGTTTCAATGATTCATTGAAGGAATGCTGATGAGTATTATTGTATCCTAGTTCTGAACGTCTCTAATGGCTTCGCATTGAGAAAGTGCAAATCTTTGGTGGCGTGTAGCATATGAACTTGAAATTGTGTTATGTTGTTCTATGTATGTTTATGGCTATGGAAGATGCAGAGCCACTGTCTGCTCATTACAATTTCATTATGTATGATTAGTTCTCTTGCTTCGTCTCAGGTTGAATGTCTGAAGTATCCTGGGTTCTGCATAACACGGCAGAAGAAGTATCCTGGGTTTTTGCTTCGTCTCAAGTTGAATTACACCATAAAATGTCGAAGACGACTGGGGATGACCAAACGGAGCCTGCTGATGATCGTGTTGAGTCATGAAGAGGTTTGAAGCGTGGTACTGAAAATCGGATTCACAGTCGCTTGAGAGGATGTTGGCGTACTGAAGCAGGTGAGGGCAGCCGCCATGTGGCACTCGTTCAGGGAAGTTGAGCTTAGCCTTTGTGCCTTTGAACTTGAAATAGTAGGCATTCTTGGTGATAATTTGGTGTAATTGTGATTTTGGTCACTAAACAATAAATTGTGTAATTATAATTTTGGTTGGTAAACAATTTTGTTATATGAAATAATTTTTTTATTATAATTCTATTAATTTTTTATATTTTCATTTTAGTGACTCAAATCTCATCGACCAAATTGGTCATATGAAATGAATTTTTCGGTCGGCGTATATGTTTTCCGCAACCAATTCTTATGGTTGCATTTACACTTTTATAACCATAAGAATTAGTTGTAAAGGGTATGGTTGGTCGCCATTCATATATTTTACGACCAATTATTATGGTTGTGTTAAATTTTTATAACTAATAAAATTAGTTGCCTAAGATAATATGATTGGTCGGTATATGGATTTTTGACGACCAAATTTTATGGTTGCATAACAATTTCATAACTAAAATGATTAGTTGCCAAAAATGATATGGTTGGTCAACATATGTATCTTTGACAACCAATTTTGAAGGTTGCGTTAAACTTTCATAACCAATTATATTGGTCACCAAAATGTTTTAATTGGTTGAGATATATGTTTTTCACGACCAATTGTTATGGTTGTGTTAAACTTTTATAACAAATATAATTAGTCGTCTAAAATGATATAATTGGTTGGCATATGTGCTTTTCACGACCAAATTTCATGGTTGCTTTAAATTTTCGTAACCTAAACAATTGGTCGTTGTAATGATATAATTGGTTGACATATGTTAATTTCCCAACCAAATTGAATGGTCACCTATAAAACGTACTTAAATTCTATTTAGCGACCAAAAAACTAGGTTACTAATAACCACATCAACTTGGTTGTCATTTTTATTTTTCGCGACCAATCAATTATATTTCCCAACCATTAAGTTGGACTATGACAACCAAATTAAAATGGTCGCGAAAAAGTAAGGTTTTTTTACCATTGGCGAATTTGGTTGCGAAAGCTTTCTTTTTCGCTACCAATCTACATTTTGGTTGCGCTAGGAATTAGTAACGCGGCTATAGCGACCAATGCTGCTGCCAAAATATTTTGGTGGCAAAAAGGTATTTATAACCAATTTTTGACCTTTCGGAACCAATTTTATTGGTTGCAAAAAGCCATTTTTCTTGTAGTGTAGAGGTGTTCAAATGGTTACCATGGTAATTATCAAACCAAATAAGCATAAATTCTATTAATCATGGAATACAATATCATAACCAAACCGTCCAAACTAATACAACAACCAAATTAACCAAACTAAAGTTTAATCGATTTGGTTAATTCGTTAACCAAAATAACCAATATACCACCACATTATCATTGAGAAAATTTTCCGGTTAGTGCATCAATTTGCATTTATATAATGAATAACACATAACAATCAACAAATATTTATAGTTAATCGTTAACATAAATACATGTAACTAATACAATTATCTTATATTTGACTCTTATGCAAAGTATTAAGTATGTGTGTATACATATATTATATATATGGCTAATTACTTAACTGGTTAATTTGGTTACATTGGTTAGCAGTGTCTGAAATAAAACCAAATCACCTCAACCAAACAAGCTAAAAAATTTAACCAACCCAAACCAATTATCAAAATTAACCAAACCAAATTATCCAAATACTACCGGTTAAAACGGTTACGACGGTAACCATACAGTTTGAACACCCCTAATATTAGTACTGCTATGTATTAGCCATAATTAGACTTTTATTATCAGAAGCATCATAAAGGGAAGCTAGGTTACTGCTGCTGTTGCATGCCTAACACAGGAGTAAAAGTATCATTCTGATTACAGGTTGAAGATTTTTCTGGAAGCACAATGATGGCAGGCAAGGAATATATACAGCCACTTTTAACTTGTTGGGCTTGCCTAGATAGTTGACGATGAGAGGAAACTAATGAACACAATCGACATTAAATCAAGAGCCGAAGATTCCATCAAAGATTTGTGTCGTCAACTTGTAATCAAAATTGGTAGCAATTGACTGATTATTTAATCGTAATATATTTTGTCTATTCATAGTATCATTTTTCTAGCTTATATATCATGTACATCTCTTATCTCATGAGTGCTAGCAATAAAAACAAATTTAAAAACCGAACGGAAATACTTAATATGCCGCAACTACCAAGACATATGGAAGTTGGCACGGTGTTTTGTGGGCTTACTTTTCTTTTTGAATTTTGATGAACATAATTTTTTTCCCCCACGATGAACATCAAAATACGATCATCAATCAAGTCACGAACTTACAACAACAGGTTGAATGCTAACAAACAAGTATAAGGACTAATCGATACTGCCATCTACCTCACTACAAAAGCCTATTAGGTACAAGACTTATACGACAACATAGAGCTGGAAACTGACTCTGAGATTCTGGGATCTCTAGCCTCCTTTGCTTCCATCACCCTCTGCATTTTCCTTGTGATTTCAATAACAGACATCTGCTTGCCACCATAAAGCCTTCTGCAACATTTTCTCCAGATCTCGCTCACCACCAGACACCAAACCATTCTGCCAACCAAACACTTTTTGAACTTCTGGCATGATGCTGTTACTGCCTGCTGCAAGGTTCTTGAAATTGGGAAAGACCATGGCTCTGGGAACACGACAGTAGGGCTGGCTATTTGGACCGGGACCGGATAAAAAACCGGAAACCGGACCGTATAACCCGGACCGAGACCGGACCGGGACCGGATAGTAAACAATCCAATCCAATCTTTGGGCTTAGATTTGAGGTAAAAAACCGGATAAAGACCGGATAAGAGAGCTCAACACCCAAAACTTAAGGGTAATTTGCATAAACGGTCACAAACCTTTGCACTTAGTACAAAACTTAACCAACTCCTCACCCTTTTAGGCCTTAGGCCACTCAAATTCCCACAATCTCAATATAAAATCAAGACCGAATTGGGACCGGACTGGGTCAAGACCGGACTGGATCAAGACCGGACTGTATCCAATCCAATCTTCGGTCCTTATATTTTCAAAAAAACCGGACTGGACCGGATTAATTTGGGCCAATTTAACCGGACCGGACCGTATAGCCACCCCTACACGACAGACCAAACTTCCTGCACATACTTACACAAAAAGAAAATATGGCCCCTTGACTCAGGCTCTTGGCCACAGAGAGGGCACTTCGGATCAACTTATGGATTCCAAACGTTTCACCACGTCCAGAGTTACTATTCTGTCAATCATAACTAGCCATGTGAATACTGAATTTTTTGGGATGCCACTCTGCCACACTAGTTAGACCAGTTCACATATTCACCCTTTGGTCTTATGCTGTGCCAAATTTTGCTAATCTGGAACCGAGACAACTTCTCACCCTCCCAAAGCACCCCTTGATCTGTCTTGCACAATTTCCCTGAGAATTCTGCTCTAAGTTTGAGTATTTTATTCCATACCCAAGACCCTTTGGTACTCACTTCCCATATACTCAGGTTCCTAAGCCGATATTCCTTGATCCAAGCAATCCAAAGCGTGTCTTGATCAGCTAGAAGCCCCCAGATATGGGGATTTTTCCAATAATAGCACCTATTAAAAACAATTACAAAAATAGCATCTAGCCCACAAAATTTACAAAATTAGCACCATTTTTATCAAACCGCACCTCCAAGGTGCGTTTTATAGTTAAACCGCACCCTCCAAGTGCGTTTTATGTATAAATCGCACCAGGAAGGTGCGTTTTGTGCCATGTCAGACTGAAAACCGCACCAGGAAGGTGCGGTCTGTGTTTCCTCAGGAGCGGCTTGCAGGCCGCAGGATAAGGCAGCGATCCAGCGGCGGACCGCTTGCCACCTCATCGATCCTTGCCATAGATAGAAGACCGCAACTGGTAGGTGCGGTCAGCGCCTCGATCAACGCAGACCGCATCGGGAGGGCGCGGTTTCTGGCTGGGCTAAACTACCAGACCGTCCCTGGAGGGTGCGGTCTGAAGGGTATAAATACCCCTCCCCCCTCTCATTTCTTCACACCACAACCATTCTTCACTCTCTCTCTCTAGAATTATCTCTCTAACCCCTCCCCTCCCAAAAGCCTAGGAAATAGTGGTATGTTGGTTGCGGCTAAGTCCGATCTGCCATCAGAAAACATTTCTTTGGTTTTTCCCTCAAAACCCGCCGAATTTCTGTCCGACTTTCACGAAAAAATGGACGAGTGGTTCCAAGGAGAGGGAGTTTATTATGATGAATTTCAAGCGGTACGTACTCATTATTTTGGTTAGTTTTTGTTATAAGCTTTTTAATTAATCTATGTACTAACCTTTTTGTTATTCTCTCGTAGGTTGGGGACGACGTGAATATATACAACCAACGGTACTATTTGGATCAAGGGCCTCTTGATCCAACCGACTTGTACGACCAACCCAACCATCGTTCAAGGGATGTTTGGAACGATCACCCGGTACATACAATTCTTCATCATTTATCTCTCTTTTATTTTGCTAATGTACTTAGTGGAATATAAAATAAATTTGAAATAATTTAATCGTATTGGTTGTTTTCAATAATTTAATCGAATACATAGCGCCACTTACTTCGACTCCTTATAAAGAGATGCACGTCTAAGGAAATGAGGTTTTAAGAGATTATCATGATCCTCCCATTTCCTGGGAAAATCGGGTATTAAGAGATCATCGGATCCCCCTTTTTCTATCAAAAAGGCTGTGTTTCTAAGAAGATGTATACCTCTTCTAAGAGTCTAACGAGTGTTGCATTGTATTCGATTAAATTATTTAAAACAACCAATACGATTAAATTACTTACCAAACAACCAATACGATTTGTGTTTATATGTACTTAATTGAATTTTATTAATTTGAAATGTTTGAATATGTATGTATCTCTTTAAATTATTATTCATTTAGAATGTTATTTATGTCAATTAATTTAGTAGGTTTGTTTTATGATAATATGTATATATCTTGGAAAAAACCGCAAATTACTTAAATTTGATTGTTAATAATATAATTATAATAGAATTATGGTCGAAATTAAATCATTAATTTTAATTAATTTAGTTATAAGACTAAACTGTTACTAATATATCATAAATAATTTTAATAATGGTCGAAATTAAATAATTAATTTTAATTAATTTAGTTATAAGACTAAACTATTACTAATATATCATAAATAACGTTGAAATTTTTGCTAGAAGGCACAACAAATACTCCGCTACAGGGGTACGACCAATGTGCTCCCATGGAACCCAGTTATCTTGCCCTTTCTCACAAGGGCACGGTTGGAGTCGATTAGGCATTTTGTAGGCATAAAAGTCGATCGCCAACTCATCACCGCATTGGTGGAGAGATGGAGAAAGGAGACACATTGTTTCAACTTTCGCGAAGGAGAGTGCACCATCACACTCAAGGACGTCGCCATCCTAACTCATCTGCCCATTGACGGCAAAGCGGTGTGTGTGAGTGATCATCCCCCCGAGGATCGTGACGGTATGATCGGTTGGCAGTGTTTCATCCACAGTGTTTTGGGGGTGAAAGTACCAACCAAGGGGAGCGTTGATGCGACGGATCGCTTGCCATCATTGAAGAAAGGCCAAGTATCAATCACTTGGTTGACGAAGTATTTTAGGGACCTTCACGATCCTGAAAAAAATGGGATGCCCCTAACCGAGGAAAGTCTGGAGCTAGAGAAGGAAAGATATGCTCATGTCTATCTCATAGGCATGATAGGAGGAGTGTTCTTCTCCAAAAAATTGAGCAATTTAATTAGTTGTGGATGGCTTAGGATCCTCCTTGGTGATTGGGATGCGATGGGGGAGTTGAGCTGTGAGGGAGGTCGGCGGCGCAATGTTCATCATCCAATTTTGGGCCTGGGAACATCTGCCATGGATTGCACCACTCCAATGTCCCGACAAGAATTGGGGTCCCGATCATCCCCTAAGACTCGAAGCTTATGGTTATGGTCCGGTTGAACTTGTTCTTCATATGATGGGTAAGATTGATGATGACCTTCACCTTGCTCTTGGTACTGAAAATAGGAATGAGGATCATGGTAACTTTGGTAGGGATGATTTCCATATAATTCACCTCCACCATGGAAACTAGATGTTTGACCGTCTCCAGAATTACCTCCAACGCCTACGACCGGCTCGGTGTAAATGAACATCTCGGCTCTATAAAGATTGTTGGACCTCAAGAATTCGAGCATGGCATCTACCGCATCCTGAGTGGTTATGAGATATTCCTCGTGCCACAACGACCCGCCTTCTCTGTTTGAATATCGGTACACCATACTATCAACTCTTCTCGTGCCATCCATGCAAGTAACGTTAGTACACATTTGATAGAGGTCTTCAAGCATCGTTCTGGTAGCGACCTTTATTTTCTGAAAATTGCCACCGACGTAGGTGACCCCCTTTCCGCTCTCTTCCGTGTAAAAAGTAATACAAAATAAACTTGCGAGTTAACGTTAACTGTGAAAACACTAGAGAAATAGGGAACTACAACAGAAAATTGAAAAGGGAGAAGGAGAGGTGTGAAGAGAAGATATTTCCCGGGCTACCTTTTATAGGCAAAATCATCAATGAAAACCGCACCTTAGAGGTGCGGTTTTCATCTGCCATGCAACCCCACGTCTGTCAAACTGCATGTCTGGTGTCGGAAAATAATTGACACACAAACCGCATGGGGGAGGGGGTGCGGTTTGTGTTGCCAAAACCGCACTTTGAGGGTGCGGTTTGTTTTGGAGAAGCAAAACCGCATCCCCAAAGTGCGGTTTTGCTAGGTTAGGACTAGACCGCATCTGGGCCATGCGGTTTGGTTAGGTCAGACCGCAAACCGCATGGCCAAGATGCGGTTTTGGCCCAGAAAGCTAAACCGCACCTTTGGGTTGCGGTTTAAATACAAAACGCACCAGGGGGTGCGGTTTTTAAAAAAGGGTGCTATTTTTGTAATTTCTACAGAATGGGTGCTATTTTTTTAATTTTTATTTTAAAGGTGCTATTTCTGGAAAAATCCCCCAGATATGACGAGCTAGACAAGCTTTATTCCAGGAATACAAATCCTTAAACCCCATACCACCCTCGGTTTTGGGCAAAGCAACTTGTTTCCAAGAGACTTTAGCTTTCTTCTTCTTTGCAAATTCACTCCAAAGGAATGAGAGCAGAGAGATTCAATTTCATAATTTAATGGGCTAATACCACTGGGAAACCCGAACTATTAACTTTGTGTCATTTGTGTCCTAAAGTATTCGATATGACATTTGTGTCCTAAACTATTTTTCCACTAGAGCTGACTAGTGTTGACCGTTAGTTTTTAACAAAAAGTCTAGTCAGCGCTTATGTGGCATCTGACATGGAATTTTAATATTAATTTTTATTTACTTGTCCATCTAATAAAAAATATAAATTATAAATTACAAAATAAAGAATAATCACACCTCTCACGGCCCCCTTCTCCGCCTCCAACCTCTCCCCTTTCTCCTTCCTCTGCAATCACCACTATCGTGCCAAATCTACACGTCGTTGTTGGAGTTCCAATAGTTGTCGTTGCTGCGCTCGAGCTCTGCTCGCCGCTGTCCCGGTCACAATCATGGAGCGCCACCGTCACCATTCACAACTCTCATGCATAGCGACCAAGTTTGGAGTTTCCCTCGATTCCGGTCACAACCATGGAGCGCCGCCGTCACGATCCACAACCATCAAGCGCTCTGCAAGTGGAAGCGACGAAACAGATTGAACCCACAAAATCGAAGGAATCCCTGTGACTTTGAGCTCAATCGGAGGACCCACTTTGCTCATTTGCCCAAAATTCGCATCTCCAGAAATTAGTGGATCTGAAATTAGGTTTTGAGGTATTCTGCAGACGATGCCGTGAAACCACCATTCCCCTTCCCCTCATCATTGTCGAGAAAAGAGAAGAGAGTGAACGACACCATTCCCCTTCCTCTTACCAGGTCGAGAGTTATGAGAAGAAGGGGATTGATGAGGCTACTGTTAGAGGATGAATGGGGTCGGCGGGGAGTTGGATGCTAATCAGGCGCAGATCCACTTCAGCGCCGACGTGATTGAAGACGACCTGATGCCTTATGGCCTGATGAAGGAGGCACTGATGGGAGCCTCAGTTCCATCTTCCTCGCGTCTCTTCAACACAGTCGCCGTCCGGATTCAACGTCGGGATTCGAAGGGTCGGATTCGGCGGAGGATGGTGGAAGTGCTGGGGACGGGTGTGCCTACGGTGACATGCATGTCACGGTGACTTGCACTTTCCGGTCGACCTCAGTTAGGATTAGGTTGACCTCACATAGAATTCGGTCGACCTCATATAGGATCCGGTCGACCACATTTAGGATTCGGTCGACCTCATATAGGATCCGGTCGACCTAATATGTTGTTTCAGTGTAAAAACAGTTCATGGTGCCTACTTTGGATATTCATATCATAACAATTGGCTAGATGGAAATTGAAGACTAATGACTTGTTTTGAAGCTGGAGTGTCCCTCTACATATTGAAGTGATTGAGAGCTCGATAGGAAGTCCAGAAGACCATTTTTGAACCTCATCAAAAGGCTATGCCAAAACTGGGAAACTGCCTAGAAATGGCTAAGTCTGGAAACGTGTTTGTGAAGCCTATTTTTGAGCTCAATTCGAGAAGCATGAATGCGAGTCGAGTCCAGGAGCCTCTACCATGTTAAATTAGGTATGTTTTTATACAAATTCAATGAATTGGATGAAAGATTGGATATCTTTAAGGCTTCAAACAAAAGGGTCGAAGTTGCTACGAAGGCTGTTTTTCTGGCAGACTTCGAGCACAAGCAAGCTGCCAGAAAAACAGCCTACGTAGCAACTTCGAGCCTTTTGTTTGAAGCCTTAAATATATTCAATCTTTCATTCAATGCCTTGCCTTTGTATAAAAAAATACGTAATTTAACGTGGTAAAGGCCCCTGGACTTGACTCGCATCCATGCTTGTCAAATTGAGCTCCAAAGTAGGCTTGACAAACACGTTGCCAGACTTAGCCATTTTTAGGCAGTTTCCCAGTTTTGTCATAGCCTTTTGGTCAGGTTCAAAAATGGTCTTCTGGACTTTCTATTGAGCTCCCAAGTACTTTAATGTGTAGAGGGACACTTCAGCTTCAAAACAAGCCTTTAATCTCCAATTTCCATCTAGCCAATTGTAAGATATGAATCTCCAAGTTAGGCACCATGAAACTGTTTGTACACTGAAACAACTGATTAGTTCGACCTGATCCTATATGAGGTCGACCGAAAAGTGCATGTCACCGTGACATGCATGTCACCGTAGCAAAGTCCAGAAGATTTTTGTTAAGAAATTATTTTTACTTTTTTTGAAAAAAAAATTCATAAATAATCTGATGTGTCAGCTGACGTGGCCGCCACATATGTGCCAGGTAACCAACGGTCAACATTTCACTGATGACCGTTAGGTCAACCGTTATCTTTAACGGTCAACAAAATTGCTAGGACATAAATGACACACAACAACCATACATCATGACACAAATTTCATATCGAATACTTTAGGACACAAATGAAAAAAAGTTAATAGTTCGGGTTTCCTAGTGGTATTAGCCCTAATTTAATTTACACAACATATCATTTGGAAAAATATTTCTTAGTGACCACCAATAAAACGGTAAATCAAAATCATTCAGTCTAATAACTTTTTTTTTATAATGGTAATAGAGGTTAATTCGTACCTAGTGGTACTATCATCAGACCAAGTCCTTGTTGGTAGATTTTCACAACCTACCATTCCGTATTTATAACAATGTGACTTAATCCCACCACGTACTAAGGATTTTTCTGCGTCTAGGTACAAGGATTTTTCTTGATCCGCCATACACCTTGTATTGATGGGCTTCTCGGTACAAGGATTTTTCCCAGACGCAGATCTCTCCTGGATCTACCAAACATATGCGAATCACCTTTGACCCGCTAGACAAACGCAGATCTCAAATCCCAAGGTCACCGAATGAGAGTCCCACCAAACTGATGTCCATCGCCCCCAACCGAACCAGACTCTGATACCACTTGTCATAACCGGGCTGCTCAATTAGTACGATATTGTCCGCTTTGGGGCAAGCCCGCACGGTTTTACTCTTGAGTGTCCTCCCCAAAAGGCCTCGTACTAATTGGGCTAGGTGGACACTTATATACAAGGGTTCCTTCCCTTGTATTACCGATGTGGTACTTGGATTGTCCCATAACAATCCTGCCCACAAGACAAGGACCACGAACTTCGTGTCCTCACCTTAGGAATTATCTTGATCTACCAGACGCCTTGTATCGACGGGCTTCTCGGTACAAGGACTTTACCAGACGCAGAACTCTCATTGATCTGCTTCCCAAATGCAGAACTCTCTTTGATCCACCAAAGCCTACCAGACGCCTTGTATCGATGGGCTTCTCGGTACAAGGACTTTAACAGACGCAGAACTCTCTTTGATCTGCTTCCCAAATGCAGAACTCTCTTTGATCCGTCAAATCCCAAACGTGAATCTCTCTTGGATCCACCAAATAGACGCGAATCATCTTTGACCCGCCAGAAAAACGCAGATCTCAAATCCCAAGGTCACCGAATGAGGGTCCACCAAGCTGACGTCAACCGCCCTGAACCAAACTAGGCTCTGATGCCACTTGTCACAAATCGGGCTGCTCGATCCATTAGTACGATATTGTCCGCTTTGGACCAAGCCCGCACAGTTTTACTCTTGGCTGTCCTCACCAAAACGCCTCGTACAAATAAGCTTGGTGGACACTTATATACAAAGGTTCCTTCCCTTGTATTTCCGATGTGGTACTTGGATTGTCCCATAACAGTAATAGAGGTTAATTCTTACCTAGTGGTACTATCATCAGGTCAAGCCCTTGTTGGTAGATTTTCACAACCTACCATTCCGTATTTATAACAATGTGACTTGATCCCACCCCGTACTAATCAAGGAATTTTGG